CCCCCAGCTCTTTTGGTCTATAATGACTGGCATTTCTTAAGAAAAGAAGCCCTCGTTTTTTGATTTGTCTGATTGTTTCCTCATGATTAGATTTGGGTTAAACATTTGGGGCAGGAATGCTGCCTAAGTGACAGGCAGGGATCAAATCAGTAGTACATGATGTCAATTTGTTCCTCTTTTGGTGATGTTAAATTGCTTAAATTTGATCACATTTCAAGTATTCTCCACTGTAAAGGTACCTGTTTTCCTTGTAATTAAGTAGTGACACTTTGAGAATATTCTGTTCCCAACAATCTTTCACTCACCGATTTTAACATCATTCTTCCGTGAATCAATTAATTATTATGGTTTCCTCTTCCATCATTCTCCCTACATTGATTAATCATCACTCTTCAAAGGTATTTCATGATAGCAGAAAACACCCAGGACCACCGACAGGACAAGGTTAGCACAAGAATGACAATGCTCACTAGACAGAGCTAAGTGTTCCAGAAGAAGGGCACACGCTCGAGTGAAGTCTGGAGCAATCGCCAGATACATACAGATTTGCATTTGCTGCTACGAAGATTTCTCTCTACGGTCGATCTGGTTCAAAGGAATTCTTCCATTGAGTAAGCTGTGGATGTTTACCAGGTTCTTTGTTTCAAGATGATGATAGAATACTGGCAAAGGATCTAAAGGAACCACACTTTTTAAGCTTCATAGAATAACCTCAAGCTTCCTCTCTGAAGTAGAGGGAGAACCTCTTAAAGTATCAGACCGAGAAAATTAGACATGGCTGAAAAACCCAGGAGGTCATTTCTAAAGTATGCTTGACTCCGAAACTTTTTTTTATGGTGCAGATCAAGCACCCTTTTATCTCTTGTCTTGCATGGCTTCGGTTCAAAGAAGGAAAGGGTATTCCTTTCTATCCCTTTCTACCTCTCTCACAGAGAGATACCCTGAGCCTTTATAACAATGTAACTTTATAAATTTGGTCAAGCTAATTTTCTGCAGACCACCTTAATGCCATACCCAGTGCTTCCAAGATACAGCCCCTACCGTAACTGAGCTCCACATTGACAAAGTCAAAAGAATATTTTAGTTTAATTCAACAATCACAGTATAATAAGCGAACACTCAGCCAATGATGCCACCCTTGGATGTCATTTGGTGTTCAACCTTCTGCCTTCCAAGGCGCCACAGAGAAAGCCAAAATCAATGCATGCCTATTGCCAGTATAGTACATAATAGTAGAAATAAATGACTAAGTAATCCTATTATAAATCACTATAAAATGATAAAATCTTAATCTTAGAAGGGGTCATACAGAAATGGTCCAATCTCCTACCCAAATGCCAGGTTCATGTCTTCAGTATCAGAAATAGTAATGCCATCTCTGCTTAAATACCACCAGCAAGAGATAGTCCACTGCACATGACAGCTCATTCCACAAAATATCTTCCTTTTATTCTCTTGATCTACTCACAATTCAGAATAGAGTGGCCATGGCAACTGATAAACACACAAAAATATGGATATACAGACAGTCAATGATTTTGAGCCTAGGTGATTAGAACCAGTGCTATAACAGAGGAAGGAAAAGGGACAATCTGGTTGGGTTTAGCTATATGAAGTTTGAGGTGATGGGAAAATACTCAGTGTCCAGGTATGAAATCCAGAACAGATATTAATGTGTATCATCGGTAGAGACAGCAGTTGAAAATATGACAGAGATAATTTCCTAAGAAAAAGACAAATGAAGAAGACAGCTACAGTGAAGACACTGAGACCCCCCCTCTAGTATCTCTGCCTTGTATATTGCCTGTTTTGATTTTCTAATTTTTCCCCAATGAATACTCTTATCTTCCCAATGTAACATAATTTCTGTAATATCAAGAATCTGGTCTCACATACCTTCTATGTTACTCTAGTCATAGAAGATACTTCGAGAAAATAATTTTGGCTGGTTCTGATAACAACCCAAAAAGATTCATGAAAAACCTAGCAGTGGGACTTCACCAGTGCGGAACAAATTCCCTGGACAATGAAGTCCACCTTTAATGGGTACTCTGGAGTGTCATTCGCAATGCCTCTTTGAGGTCAAAAACCACAGCATGTGTTTATATTAAATTCATGGGTTCATTCCATGAAAACGATGAAAATCCACCACATGCAAGGTACTGTGTTAAGACACACCTTTTGGGAAACACAAAGCTACGTAAGACAAGGTCCTCACTCTTGTAGATCTTACAATATTCTAATCCTCTTCTGCAAAGTCAAAGACAAATTTGTGCCTTGAATCATCTTAGGGTACTCCACCGTATTTGCCAATGCAAGTGCTTATAATTTAATAGTTTTCTTTTGACTTGACAAACACTCTAAACTACTGAAACCAGCAAGAATATGGCTTGAGTATAACTGCTACTTCATATTTGTAGATAAAATTTCATATTCTTATAGTTCTCTCCTTAGCTTCATTCATACACTGAAACTATTAGTAAAGAGATCACTAAATCTGTTGTGTACCTAAGCCCTCAGTTCAAATCATCGTGGCCCTCCCAGTGGCCCATCAGTCCCCACCACTTAGTCCTTCTCTCTCATCTTACCAGTGCCTAAAGTTTTCCTTCTCCCCACCTCACCACCCCTTGCCCAAATTATCCAAATTATTCTTCCTTTTCATGTGGAAGAATTCATCTATCTATGGTCTCCCCTCTCTGAATTCACATGATACATATCTAGCCAGCCTCAACCAATTTAACATTTAGGTTCAAGTTTCCTTATGTTATTCAATAAACGTTTCATATAAGTTCTTTTTTTCCCTCTCTTTACCAGAATCTAACAGTAAACTCTTTGAGGGAAATCCCTGTGTGTGTGTGTGTGTGTGCACGCGCACACACATGCGCACGCACTCAGTAGGATCATTTAGTGCAATGTTGTGCATATAGAAGATGGAAAATATGTGCAAATGACTGAAATACTTCTTGGTATTTATAGAATTCCATTTAATACCCTGCACACTTGTCCCTTTGATAAATGCTTTTAGATCATAATATTGCTTACTAGGCCAATATAAATTCATTCTACTCATGTTCCAACTCTTCAGAGAAGATTCTATTTTGATGAAGAATGAAAAGGGATGGGATGGGAGTAAATCTTGTAGCATATGAATATAATTATTATCATTACTGTATTACTGTCCTTTATAACTCAAGGCAACATCACTAACAAGAAGACCAATGAGTTATGAGCCATTAACATAGGGATTAAAAGAATTCTCTACCAAAGTTATTGAAGCTCATAACATCTTGCCCTTCATTTGCCGACCTGTAATCATCAGACCAGGGCCCTTTTTCCCTAGTAGGGGTGCTGAGTTCACACAGAGTGGAAGTTTCTTCCTGAGAAGTCACAAGACCCTGATGGCAAGAAAACAACCACTTTAGGCTCCTTGGGATCACTCTTTAAGTTAAGCAGAACCACCATCTAACTATACCAGAAATCAAAGTTTCAAACAGGATAGGGTTTAAAAGTTGCAAACAACTTTTAAATTCAGAAGAGTTTGGAAAAGACTAACAAAAATAATCAGAAATAAATAAGCCGAAAGAAATAAAAACAGCATCACTTAAGTATAGATGAGAAGTTTGGGAAAGGCAGAGCAAAGAAGCCACAAGGGAAACTTGCCCCAGACACAAGCCAGAGGGCTGGCAGCCACTGTGGAAAACAGTATGGAGGTTCCTCAAAAAGTTTAAAAGAGAACTACCCTATGATCCAGTAATTCCACTTCTGGATATTTACCAAAAAAATACAAAATACAAAAACACTAATTCAGAGGGATATGCACCCCTATGTTTACTGCAGTGTTGCTGACAACAGCCAGCCCAGTGTCCATCAGTAGATGAGTGGATAAAGAAGATGTGGTATAGATACACAATGGAATATGATTTGGCCATTAAAAAAAAATGAAATCTCGTATTTGCAATGACACGGAGGCAGCTAGAGAGTATAATGCTAGTGAAATGAGTCAGTCAGAGAAAGACAAATATCATATGATTTCACTCATATGTGAAATTTAAAAAACAAAACAATTAAAGCAAAGGGAAAGTGAGAGAGAGGGAGAAACCAAGAAACAGACTCTTCACTACAGAGAACAAACTGATGGTTCCCAGAGGGGAGGCAGGTGGGGGATGGGTGAAATAGGTGATGGGGATTAAAGAGTACACTTGTCATGATGAGCACTGGGTGATGCGTGGAAGTGTTGAATTACTATAATGGACACCTGAAACTAATACAACCCTGTATGCTAACTATACTGGAATTTTAAAAAAAAAATTTTAATGACGGAAGGAACTGTCTTGTGTTAGTAAGGTAGAGGCAGTCATTGAAAACAACTTGACGTCCCGAATTTTTACAATGAATGCAATCTTGAGGTCTGCAGAAGCTCACACACACACACACACAGCCACTATGTACATGCATTAGGTTGAAGCTGTATCTGCTCATCACCAAAGGGTCCCATCAGATTAAAATGAAACCAGGAGCTCCTTTTTATATCAGACTTCTATTAAAGGGGTGTTTAATGGTTTTAAAGTCTTGCAAACAACTTTTAAATTCAGAAGGCACTTAGGGCAGGAAGCAAGGAGCAATCGTGGGGGGTGGGGTGATAATGAACAGGGCTGTTTGAGGTTTCACTTGAAATGATCTAATACCACCCTTGCCTTTTTCCTGAAAGATAAAGCCTCAAAGTAGGGAGAACATACAGGTTGAAGATGTGGAAACTGTCAGGGTAGAAAAACAGAGATGGATCTGCTAAATGCAAATGAATTTAGAGGGAATGTAAGTTTTTTTTTTTTTTATTCCTGGCCATCAAAAATAGTTTGGAGGATCTGTGCCAAAGTTAGAAATAAAAGCATCCTTTTTTCTTCCTGCACCCTACAGAGTTGCCTTTGAAGTCACATGTGCTCCACAGGGCACAGACAGAAACAAAACTCAGGCCCTTCTTAAATTTTATTATATATGGTTCACTATAGGACAGTGTCCTTCAAGCACTTATAAAAAGTCATTTTCAGCTCCTTCTTCTTAGATATGATAAGCTTTTGTCGTATGCCCTGGAATTTAAATCCATGCTTCCCTCTGGTTATACCTTCTGGTCCCAGGGACAGCCTCGGGGACTTGGCCCAGTTGCCTGGATCTGGTTCAGGTGCTGCCTGGATGGATGGGCTCCAGCTCCCGGCTTGCAAGGACTGGGGCTGACTCTGCAGCCACCTGGCAAGGCTTGGCCAGCTTTGCAGCCTTCTGGACTCCCCCGAACAGCTCACTGGGGGGCCTCAGCCCTCCTTCGCTCCCCATTCTGCCTCCCCAGGGCTAAAGGATGAACAGCAGCTATCCATTCTTCCTGCCTGATGCCCCACATAGAAGGTGAGAAAAATATCACATTTGGAGAAATAAAACTATAACGCTGGTAATAGTTCAAAACTAATCTAACTTCAAAATCAGGGACTTTCTTGGGAAACCTCCCTACAGTCTAAGTACAGAAATGTTGATATCATTTGTTTTGTTTTGTTTTCTACTAGATACTGAGCTTAGAATCTGGAAGTGTCCTGAGCCAGTGTCACATAAATGTGAGCTAAAAGATCAAAGGGAGAGAAACAAAAACACTTCATATTTTCCAATGCATCAATTCACCCACTGTGTGCACTCTAAAGAGAAAAAAAATCAAAATATTTCCAGCATAAGAGATTTTACTGTAGAATATTAGAATACAGCCTCTTTTCTCGGGAAAGTAAGCTAAAACTAAGAGGAGTCTTAAAGACCAACTAATCCAATTACTTAAAGTAAAGGCAGAAACTGCTGCCCAGAAGTTAATGGCTCAGACTAAATAGGGTAGTGTCAAGAAGACATACAAGCCAATTAGAGGGAGCCTCCACTGGCCAAAGATGGGACAATATGAATACCAAAAAGAGTGAAAATTGATTCAAATACATCAAATTGATAAAGTCCATGGGTTGATAATGAGTTGATGAGATGTTCTTCTACCTCCACCCCCAAAATAGTAGAGAACAGTTTACTGGTGACTGCCAGGAGAAGTTGCTCAAGTCCCAGTTCATTATTCCAACAATTGCTAAGTCAAAGGCAAAGATGAAGAACGTATCCTGCTTTATCTTGTCTAACTCTATTTCAGAACAGCCAAATAGCTAATGGTTGGAAAATTCACCTATATAAGAGAATCCCAATAAGTACAGAAATAATGACAGAATTAGAAAATTTCCATTTTGCCACTCCCGGGTAAGTAGTTGCAAAAACCATTAAGTAAAAGGTGGGTGGGGAGCTTTTCAAAGGATGGATCAGGCACACAGCTAAATTTTCTGATCAATCTTAAGAGTACTAAAACTGGGTTAGCCAGACATACGTCCCTCCTACAGTAATGCAATAGGAAATACAGAGCACCACCTATAAAGTCTTCTTGCCAGAAAATAATAATAATAATAAACTAGAACTTCATCACATGCTTTGATCTATCTATGAGTTTACAAGAAATATGCGGACAGAGGCGCAAGTTAAATGATGCTACATGGAAGCAATGAATCAAACCAAAAATGTGGGACATTCTACAGGGTAAACGATCTGGTTTCTCCAACACAAAAAGGGAATAAAAAAAGAGGAGAGAGCTGGAAGGGGACAATTATAAATGTGAAAATATTTACTAGAAAAAATGGCCAAGTCAATGAATGTATCGTGTTTGACTCCTAATTTGACCAAGAGTTTAAGGAAACAACCTTGTTAAAGAGTGAAATGTTACTAAGGACTATGTGTTAGAGGACATAAAGGAATTATAAATTTGGGGCAATATTTATGCTGTAGCTATACATAAAGTAGGGGTACTTGTTAATTAGAGATGCACACTAAAATATTTTGGGGATGAAAAAAAAATTTTTTTAAGGAAGTTAATGACTCATTCAGGACTGGAACATGCTCTTACGATACCCAGTGCATGCTCTCTGCATTATAACCAAATTCAAAGGATATACAAATAGTAAACTTTCTTTAAGTTCTTGGAAAAAACAATGCCAACCATCATTTGTGTCCTCTCTTCCCTTCCCTTCCATTAATAAGAAACAACATATGTTTGAATACCTACAGATAAGCCACATTTTCTCCATCTGGAAACAAGATTACCCAATAATCTCAAAGATTTTGGTAGTTACTGCGGGGTTTTGTGCATTAAATTAGCTCACCTTTTGGGTGTGAAATGAGAAGAAAGAAGCTCCCTACACCAAAGATCTCATGAGATCCCAAGAGATGCTGAGAGTGCTTCAAATTCCTAAGTACATGTGCCATTTAGAAGAAATAATGCACTGAGCCACATATGCCTGAGATGCTTTGTCAGATAACATTTAGTCTGTAAGCCAGGTCTTAAGAGATGGAACATGGGACGGCTAATAGTCAATGAAAGTGAAGGGGGATACAATGAGGGTAATTAATTACTAGGAACATAAAAGGAATGATCATCTGGAAAAGAAAGTTTAGAATGGAAATGGGGCATCAAAAAACATGGTGCGGGGGAGACAAAAGAACATCATCAACACCTTTTCCAAGTCTCAATTTAGCCCAGGGTTGTTCAAAAAAAATTTTTTTTAAGTGTGACAAAAGTGAGAATGTACAAAAAGTATGGAAGCATAACATTAGGGCAGAAAAAAAGAAAAGATGGTCCTCTTCATTGCAGCATTATTTACAATAGCCAAGACATAGAAACAACCTAATCAGGCAACTGGGTGGCTCAGTTGGTTGGGCGACTGCCTTCTGCTCAGGTCATGATCCTGGAGTCCCGGGATCGAGCCCCACATCGGGCTCCCTGCTCAGCGGGGAGTCTGCTTCTCCCTCTGACCCTCCCCCCTCTCATGTTCTCTCTCTCTCATTCTCTCTCAAATGAATAAAGAAAAATCTTAAAAAAAAAAAAAAGAAAAGAAAGAAACAACCTAGTCGTCCACCAGCAGATGAATGGATAAAGAAAATGTGAATATATACATACATACAATGCAATATTACTCAGCCACTTTTAAAAATTCTGCCATTTGCAATGGCATCGATGGACCTTGGGGGCATTTCGCCAAGTGAGACAAGTCGGAGAGAGAGACTTACTTACAGGCGGAATCTGAAGAAACTGAACTCACAGATACAGAGAACAGATTAGTCGTTGCCAGAGTTGGGCATGGGGAGTGGGTGAAATGGGTGAAGCAGGTCAAAAGGTACGAACTTCCAGTCATAAGATAAATAAGTTCTGGGGATGTCAAATACAGCATGTAATATACATCAAATATACTGGATCATATATTTGAAAGTTACTGTGAGAGTAAATCTTAGAAGTTCTCATCACAAGAAAAAAAAAAGGTGATGGAAGTTAACTAAATTTATTGTGGTGATTATTTCACAGTATATACATATATCCAATCATGTTGTGCATCTGTAGCTAATACAATGTTATATGTTAACTATATCTCAATTTAAAAAAAAAAAAAGAGCTGATTCTCAAAGTCCCACTTTGACCTCCCATCTTTAATGAACAGCATGAGAAGGACATGCCAGGATTAAGGACGACGGTGGGCCAAGAACCCACTATCAGATGGGCCCCAAGCATATTAACTAGAAACAATGAGAGCATGTAATCTCCAGTTACGTCTCAGTAGGCTATACTTTACTCACTAGGAGGATTCTCTGTCCAAGTAAATACATAAGCAGAAGTAACAAAACCAAACAACAACAAAAACACCCAGGCAAAAAAAAGCACAGCATAGCACAAAATTAACAAGGGCAGTGCGGAAAGAGACAACGTTGTGAAATGTTGTTTTGTAATACATTTGGAACCTCTGGCGTGCTTGACAGGTCATGACACGGAACACTGACCTCCGGATTGAAACAGAAGCACCATCTTCTTTTCTGCCCCCTACACTAGGCATTTCTTCTAATGGTGAAGGTTGAGAGAGGGAGTGAGGAGAAGAAAAAGAGGGGGAGAAAAAGGAAGCTCATTTGGCAAGGATCTGGATCCCAGTTTCTTAGTTCCTGATCTCAGAATGAAGTTGGTAACATTTCCTGCCTTTTTTGTATGTTTTGAGTGGTCAATAGTAACTTTGTTTCCTGTTTTCCAGAAGAGCAAATCCAGCTTTTTTTTTCCTTTGTATGTTTTTTTAGCATGAATATATGTTTATATATTGAGATACTCCTGACACCATAAAATTTGCCTTTTTTAATAAAAAGTATGCAATTCAGTGTTTTTTAGTATAATTTTAAATTTGTAAAACCATCACCAGTATACAGTTCCAGAATATTTTCATCACCCCAAAAAGAAGCCCTGTAGCCATGAGCAGTCACTCTCCATTCTGACCTTCCCCCCTACCCCGAAAGCCTACGGCAAATAATAATTTGTCTCTGTGGATTTGCCTGTCCTGGAGATTTCATATAAATGGAATCATACAATGTATTGCCTTTGGTGTCTGGTTTCTTTCATTTAGCATAATGTTGTCAAGGTTCATCGTATTACATCATGTAGGAGTACTTCATTCCTTTTTCGGGCTGAATAACGTTCCATCATATACACAGATGATGTTTTGGTTATCCATTCATCAGCTGATGGACATTTCCACTTTTTAATGGATTCACTCTTTTGATGGATTCCACTTTTTTGATTCATTGTTTCCACTTTTTTGGCTACTGTAAATAATGCAGCTATGAATACTCACGTACAAGTTTTTGTGCGGATGTATGGTTTCAATTCTCTTGGGTATATACCAAGCAATAGAACTGTTGGGTCACATGGTAACTCTATGTTTAACTTTTTGAGGAACTGTCAGACTGTTTTCCAAAGCAGCTGCACCATTTTACACTCCCCCTACAATGTATGAGGGTTCTAATTTCTCCACGTGCCCACCAACACTCGTTATTGTCCATCTTTTTGATTATGTACGTTCCTGTGAGTGTGGAGTGGCATCCCGTGGTTTTGATTTGTATTTCCTTAAAGACAAAGCCTCTTTTCATGTGCTCATTGGCCCTTTATATATCTGCTTGGGAGAAATGTCTATTCAAATATTTTCGTTTTTAATTGGGTTAGCTTTTAATTATTGAGTTGTAACAGTTCTTTATATATTCTGGATATGTGTCTTTTTTCAGATACACGATTTACAAATATTTTCTCACATCCTTAGGGTAGTCTTTTCATTTTCTTGAGAATGTCCATTAAAGTACAAATTTTGGGGGCACCTGGGTGGCTCAGTCATTAAGCGTCTGCCTTCAGCTCAGGTCATAAACCCAGGGTCCTGGGATCAAGCCCCACGTCTGGCTCCCTGCTCCACGGAAAGCCTGCTTTTCCATCTCCCACTCCCCCTGCTTGTGTTCCCCC